TGATGTTTTGTTTACTTGACACCTAGGTGGCGTGCAGTGCTGCCACATATTACATATAACAGCGCCATCTAGCCGTCAACTGTTGAAACAAAAAAGGTCAACAGATGTTTATTTTGCAGTTTAGAGGCTCGATTGTTTAAAACAGTGATACCCAAAGAGATCCAGGTGGACCCAGTGTTCCACGGTAGACTCGAGGGAGGTCTACGTTGGCGTGAAAAAATATGGGGGTCCACGAAAATGTATCTGGTTTCGATAGTAACCAAACTGCTTGCTTAAAAGCCTCTTTATTTAACTAAAAAGAATCGGATGTTGGTATAAAACTGAGTGGGGCAAGGCGGAAATTGCTGGCGGCAGAGATTTGAGCACTTGTGTATTTTCAATACTACAGGATAGTACGTAACCATCACCTTTGTTGAAGAGATTCTATAATGTTGAGTTCCCTGAGGCTGAATGCTGACTTAATTCCAGCACTGAGCCCGGACTCACTCATTGTCGAATCTTCACTGATGGCTCCAAAATTTACTCTGAGCTCTTTCTCGAAGTTAATGGGGATAAGCTTCACTTTTCTCTTGTGGAATATGCTTCGGTCTTCCAGGCTGAGGTAATTGGAATCCTCAACGCCATGGACTATGAGGAGGGAAAATAGGTGGAGGGGAAGGAGTTTACGTGTCTGCAGTGACAGCCAAGCTGCACTTTAGACATTGGCCAGCCCTCTATCTAAGTACTTCCAAACTAGTAGTTCGGCAATGCCAGTCTCGACTAAATTATGTTGGTAAACATATCGAGTTTGCTTTACACTGGGTGCCAGGTCACTCCGGAGTACCTGATAATCAGACATCTGACAATTTGGCCATAGTTGGCTTAGATCAGGCATTCCTCGATCCGCAACCAGTCATAGCACTTCCTACTTTGGCCATCGATACCACCATCAGAAACTGAGTGAATACCTCGCTCAGCAATGACTAGGAGGCATCGAGGGGATGCAATTGGGCAAAACTCACGCTGCCTCCGATCTCAAGTTACTTGCTCTCACTGAGCAGACGGGACTGCAGACAACTTGTTGGACTGCTCACTGGTCACTGCACGTGGCTTGCTTACTTGGTTGTTTTTCATCGATTTTTCTAAAACTGGGTATTTTCTCAATTGTCAGTTTCTGAATTAATATTATGGCATAAAAAATTTCCGGTTTTATTGTTTAAAGTTTTGTATGTTTAAAAATGTGGGTGATAAATATTTTTCGCATCACTTTAAAATTCGGAGTGATAAAACTAAAAATGACGCCATCAGCACAAGTAAACTATTTTACAAATACGCCACATGCAAATTCAGAGCGAAAGAATACTATGATGACTTTATGAGCTCTGTTTTTTAAAACTTGCAAGTGTGTTATATGTTTATGTTTTATGTTTTTAATAAATAGAACACAAGAAAATATTTTATTTTGTATTTATGCCACTCCAAATTTAGTTTTAGTTTAGTTAGATCTAATCTTCACATTTTTTGATGAGCTTTGGAAATATGTTAGAAATGTAGCTGCACGGGGTCCACCGAAACCAGATAACTTTTGAAAAGCGTCCACGAGCAAAAAAAAGTTTTGGAACACCTCGTTTAAAACGTTAGGCTGCTTTTTACAAGCCACTGTACATTTCTAACTGCCATACCTAAACAAAAGCGTCAGCGTTGCCTGGCTGTCAAAAAATTTTCATGCCCAAACAATTTGTAAGAAGCATACCGAAACAAGGCGGCGTCAACGCTGAACGTAGTAGTGTCCAAGGGTTTTTGACATCTGATATTTCAGAGCCTCTTTCGTCACGAAATTATGGAACGGGCATATGTATATTTATTTCCGTTCCAAACATGTGTTGCCGTGTGCTATTTATTGACAAAAAAACTTCAGAAAACCGTAGTAGAAAGCGTAGCAAATTTCTTAAGAACTGCGTACTGCCTTAAGGAAATTTGACACAAGAAAAATTATTCGTCATTTCTTAAGCATTTCCGAAATTTCCTACCAAAACCTACCAATACATCTTTTGAGTTCCTCCTATAGCTCGTTGCTGTAATAATTCTCTACCAAGCCAATGAGTAGTAGAGAATGACGTATATTCACTACCAATAGAGAAATAATCGGTAGAGAAGAGTTACCGAAACGAGCTACTGGGATGAGTTATGAATAGGGAGGACAAAAATATGCACAAAAAAATTATTTATATGATCATTAAAATGACTCCAAAATATTAGAAATATGCTTGATATATGCACCAAAAATGTACATGTATAACGAAAATTTCTTCGATTAAGGCATAACAAGTTTTTGTACACATTTATGTACATACAAAATGTATTTAACAAAGTGTGATTGATTTTGACATTGCTCTCAGAAGAACCCGCCTATTAAGTCAAATTGACAAAATTTTTTATGAAGTTTGAATCGTCTGTTTATATTTTTTGGCATAATAACACCTTGTTTTATACACCTTGCCTACATATGTATATATATTGTACGTCACAAGACTTTGTTGGACAGAATTTAAAAGATGAAAATTATCCAGGTGAAAATATTGCAACATTTTATTGAAATGTTGCTTCAAACAAAATATTTTTGTTGCTAATATTGAGCAGTTACAATAGATGCAGAATAAAACTCCCTGCTCAGTTCGCAACACACCTGGAGTTGGATTCTGTAACTGTGAGGAGATGTAGATTTTTATAAAAACCCGCTAGAGAAAGCAACCACAATTGGTGACCAGAGATCATAAGATCGTCTGCGTAACAGCGCCCTTAGATGTACCGCAGAAAGGCTCGGAACCATGCAAGCACATTTGGGCGATTTGTGAGACAGCCGCTATTACGCTATTGTGGGTTCCCTGGGGGCTCAAAAGAGTTTTACAGCAGAATCTAAATCAAAAAAAGCTTGCTTTGTGAACAGTTTGATACAGCTACAGAAATGTGAAAGCTCGGAATGGTTTCGCTCGGCCCGCCTCCGCTTCCTTTGTGAACGTGTTCTAAGGCCTTCAACGCTGCCTCACTGTATAATACTTATTCTGGTCCCATTTTTCCTTCTACGAAGCCATTCGCAAGCACAGACTTCGATTGCGAAGACTCCTTATAAGCTTTATATTCTTTTATTAGTGAAAGAGATCAAAAAACAAAAAGTTAGTTACAATTAGTTATTGTATCAAGAAGTAAGCCACGACATTTTGACGCTATTTGCATGGCTTTGATTTTTTACATTTTGTCCAGCTAGTTAGCCCACTTTTCTTATAAATTATTTGTGTGTTCTGTACAGTATTGCTAGATTTTGGGCTATGTCACTAAATTTGTGGCCCAGAAAACCATGTCTTCTTCCAATTAAGCCAAGGAAAACCAAATGTTTGGGACATCTATGCTTTAAGGGTTCATTATGGCACAACAAGACACAAAATTACCTACAAACTCTTAAACAAAAACAAAAAAAGATTCTCTCCACATTTATGCATTAATAAATAAACACCGTTGTGGCACTCCACTTATTCACTGCCCAACTTTGTGCTGCCTCAATCTGGCACTTCAGTGCCAAGGTTACGCATACAGTTTGGATAACCGATAAGAATTCACTGCATCGACGAATTGCTATACAAATAAGAAGCATTTCATTTTATTCCACGCAGCTTAACAACATAAAGATTCCGTGATAAAAAAAAAAAATGTTGCTGAAAGTGCACAAGATTTTGTATAAAATGCAAACTTTAATCCGATTGCAATACAGTCCAAATCTATTGGTGCAACAAGTAACCTAGCAGTGCAAAAAGTAAACCAAATAAAAATAAATAATATAAAAAAAAACTTTTTAATATACAACGCTTTTATAAATGGACTAAAAAGTACTTCTCAGTCCCATAGAATTTGTTTTGATAACTTTTGATTTTGAAATTTTAGCAAAAGTCATTATAAACAATCTATGAAATTGAAAATGAAAAACGTGGAGCGCATGCAATACAAAGCATTCGATTTAATTGACAATAGTCAAACTACATAACGTAGACCTAAAATTTCTACAGCGAAAGTAGAACTTTGAAATCGATTTTAAGCGGTCGTTATTCATATACCCACATACATACATACATATATTACTTTTCATATCAATTCAAGTGTATTACATGCGCCCCACGCTTTTCATTTTCAATTTCATAGATTGTTTATAATGACTTTTGCTAAAATTTCAAAATCAAAAGTTATCAAAACAAATTCTATGGGACTGAGAA